CCCCAAAACCCCAAAACCCCGAGAATCAAAATTTTGAAAATAAATTAAAGAATTAAAAATAATTAAATCAAAGAGTAGAATAGTATTGATAATCAGTAATTGAATTATAGAGTACTAAAATTAGATTAGTTTTATTAGTTTTAAAATGTAAATCAGATATTGGCAGATAATGATACTAATCTTGACAAGCAGTATCAAATTTTCAAGTTAAGACAGCTTCTTATCAAGTTCACATTTAGAAGTCTTCCCATTTCTAAATTTTTAATAGAAACTAATGCTAACAAGCTTAAATTTCCTAGACTTTTGTATATTTCCAAATACCATATATTATGGAACTGAATTTATTACTCAAAGGGGTGTTACTAAATCATTATTGAGAGATGAGGGTGACTCATCTGAAAAATTCATCAAACACATTAGAAACACATAGTAAAATTTAAACTTTTCAAGATATGAAGACGATAGCTTTGTATATCGTAAAAGTGATACTGCACGTATTCCTTTTATAACTCACAGAGTTTGGCTATCAGATCCTTAGAAACCAAAAGAGATGCAAGATCTTTTGAGACACTCAATTCTAAATGCTATTTTTACATCAAACAAAAACATAGAATAATCTAATACAACTTAGAATTGGACTCACTATCTCTGGGTTTATAACAAGAAACAGGTTCCAAGAACTGTTAGATTTTTTGAATAGCATAGGGTTTAGATCAGGGAGGTATATGAACTTGATCTATTCAAGGACTAGGAATTCGCTTAATAAATTGAATACTACTTTGAAAATGGTAGAGCCTTAGTATCAGCAAGCAACATAATTCGAGCCTTAGTAGTTTATGTTTATGGAGGGATTTACTTTGATAATGATTTTTACATAACCACTTGGGACTAGAACTTGCACTTTTTCTTTGATATGGTTGGCTTTGGCCTCCTAAACACTCCAAGCTTCAGAGGTGTCAATAATGCTATTCTTGTAGCTAAACCAGGGCATCTCATATTTCAGAAATATTTGCATAGAATAATAACAGATTATAGAAGATACAAAACAGAAGAAAGGCCTTTTCATTAGAATAGTTGCTCTTTTAAGACAGCTTCTGGAACTTTGTTTGGAACAGGCAATGGAGTATTTGCTATTGTAATCTAGAATTTTATTAACAAGAACGGTAACTAAGATATACTAATAACAGATGAGTACAGGCCGATTCATAGAATACAAATCAATACACTTGATTAAGATAATAAACGAGGAAAACTATAAATATTCATTGAAGGTAAAGATAAGACTACTAATTTATGGAAAAATAGTTTTAAGGATGGTAGAGTTTTTGGGTGGACGGAGTTTAGTGATTTTTGATAATAGCGGGTTATTAGAAGAATTCTTAGGCTTTGTACAGGATTTTGAATTAAAGTGTCTGCGAAAGAATTATAAATTTCATTGTTAAAGACTAATTTTAAAATTGATTAATTCATTTATAGTGATCTTTTGAAGCATTTCCTTGCGGGGTTTTGGGGTTTTGGGGTTTTGGGG